TCAATATAGCCCGTTGGTTACACTTCCGTTAAACCAATAGTTCGTCTATATAATATTCTTCTGAAAAAAAGTTTTTTTATAATTGTCAAAAGAAAAGTCATTTTATTTAATGCTATCACACTATATAATGATCGCATCTGACAATTTTTATATTTGACATAGTATGTGAAATGTGTTGCTTCTTTATGGTAAAGATCACTTCATAAACAAGTTGTAAGATGCTGCAACCTAGGAGTTGCGGCCTTGTGCACAAAGCCTATGTAATGGCCCGTTGTAATGTCCCAGATAAACGTTGTTCATACATAGAGTAGAGGTCAGCGTACGAACAACAAAAGGGAGGACTCCACCATTCAAGTGAAAGTGAACCAATCTGACAATTCTATCAACTTAGCCAAGTCCCTAATTTTGCAGGATGTCAGCTCCGGCAGGTTACCAAGAAAAGTGGCCCCAAAGATTTTAAATCTGAACACTGACACATGAGGTAGAGTACAGTTTCTTCCTAATTCGCAAAGCCACAACTTCGACAAAAGTCATTATACGATTGACTTAGTCATAATATATCTTTCTAGTAAGCAGTGACTCATCAGCACTGATACTGTAGTAATGAGCAGGTTACGCTTTAATTAAAGCAGCTGATTAGTACATTGATAATTATTGGAGCTAAACTAATAATAAAATCTTTTCTTTGATTGTGTAAAAATTTATATATTTTTACAAAAAAAGCTAAATTTTAATTTAATTACAATTTTAATCTTAATACAAATTCTAGTTCTTGGAATTTTTACGAGTGTGACCTTTCACTTCTCTCATTTGTGACGATCAGCTAAACATTTTGTTATAACTAATCAAATATATTAAATAAATATTTAAATTTTCAAATTTAGTAATAATTATTTTTCTTATTGATTGTAAAGTTTATTGTAGAATTAATGGTTATATATTTCCTATATATTATAAAGGAAAGTGATCTATCACTTTTTATCTAAACCATTTTTGAAAATCTGAAGAAAACCTATTAACGTATTTTAATTACTGCAAAATAACAATATCAATTTATTAGAAACCAACACATTTCACTTTTTGTCAACATCTTATTAAGACAATTATTTCTATATCATTGTAATAAAAATTATGAGACTCCGTTCTTGACTTCTGATTTGGATAGAGAACTTTAAGCTCCTATATGTAATTTTTGACGGACCTAATCCGTGTGTAGTTAAATAAAAATACATAACAATGTGTAGAAGAATATGTTATGTGTTCCTATATATTATATAATCCTGTTGGTCTATTACTGTTAACATTAGCTTTCAAATGTCCAACCTAGTTTTTTACATTGAACCATTGTACAATTCTCCTGTATATGACAAGAGTCATCTCTTGTTGGTTTCAAGTGAGTCATATTAATCTAAGTAAATCCAGTGAATTTTATGAAACAGAATAATTTTATGATTAAGAATGATTTTATTGATTTATTACTTTAAAGATTATTGATATAAAAGATCTAATTTTTCTACATTAATATACATTTTTTCACATATTCTGTATTGTATATCAAATCAATAATAGTTTGTATAAAAAATTTGATTTTTTAAACGAATATATTGATTTTAAATAGAAGCATTAAGGCATAGCGAAGTGTTTTTGGCTTTCTTCATTAATTGGTATCAAATTAATTAAATAATTTGCACTCGTTTTACTCAAATTGAGTTTTTTTTTAGAGAAGGCATTACGCAGTCAGTCAGTGTATAAATTTATCAAAATGTGTCTAATGCAGTTTTGCTTTCTCTTTCTAATTTCAGTATATATTGAATATATAGTAGACACATAATTGGTTAGATAAAGTTAATCTAGCGACCTATAAAGCTATCAGTGCCAAGAGATATTTGATGGAACAAGACCTTTACGTTGATTTATAGTAGAAATTATATAAGATATCGATGTGTTTTGTTAATCTAGGAAGTGTTTTCGGGTTGCATTCCTGAACGCTCTTTAATTACCCAAATTGTGGGGTCTTCAAGTATATAAACCGTGGGACAAAAACATAAAAGATGTTAGACACCAATGTCGAGCTAATGTTTCACAAAAAATGAATTGCAATTTTAGATTCATTTTTAACGTTTAGTTTAAAAAAAATATACATTGTTATTTATTATCAATCATCATCATCCGTGAGTATACAGTCCATGTAGGACCTAAGCCTGTTTAATAACATTCTTCCATTCTTCTCTGTTTTTTGCTTTTGGTTTCTAGTTTCTTTTAAATACTGTTGCACACTGTCTTTCCATCGTTTTCTTGGTCGCCTCCATCTTCTGCTGGTTCCTACTTCGTTTTTATAAGTCTTAAGCGGTCCGGCATTCCTATCACATGTCCAACCCATCTTAATAGCTGCTTTTTCATAAATTTGTTGATTGTATCATTTATTACCAATATGGCAGGAAAATAAAAGTTTTTTTTTTTTTTTTTTTTTTTTTTTTTTTTTTTTTTTTTTTTATAACTCTTTCTCACTTTCTCTTTTTGTATTGTCACCAGAATTATGGTGTTTTAAAGCAACTACCTCTTTTGACTCTATAGATAGCGCCGCACTGTTTTAAAGCCTGTTTTAAGTAAATCCAGTCTTATAGCGGATGTCCTAACGAAACGATTGATTACAAAATTGTGAAAAGATTGAATATTTGAAAGATGAAGAAAGTGCTTTGCATCTGCGAATATAAATTATATTCTGTATGTAGGGTATTTAATTTTTAATACTCCCTTAGTTACCAGATCTCGTGTTGAAAAGAATCTGCGCATCCTTTAAGTTTATAAACATTTAAAGATATCAAAATCTTAAGGGTTTTACACTCTTAAAACTGTTAAATCTTTGAAGGTTTTCAGCTTTTGTGGGTTTCAAATCCTTATAAATTTTAAGTCCTTGAAGATTTTACACCCTTAAAGATTTTATATTCTTAAAGGTTGTATATTCTTAAAGGTTTTATAATCT